CTTTTATAGGACTGTTAGTGTTCCAAATAGTGGGGTGAAAGGATCCTGGGATATTCCAAAAAGCCCACATGGATGAAAGCGTTCTTAACCTACATTAAATCTTGATAACGCAATAATGAATCTTTTAAAAGGATAATTCTAATTCCCCTATCTACTGCAATAAAGACTGTATACAGCTAATCTGCTTTGCCCTTTCAATTAAACTCGTCCAGGACGTTCGCTTTAGTCAGCACCCTGAATGAGTCATTAAAATTCTTGTTCTGTGAGAGTTGTGTTCAGTGCACTGTTGTTTCTAAATTCCATTAAATCCAAATGGTCTTTATCGCCCCATGACCACTGTGACTTCAATCAGCCAATTTAATTACCTTACAAAATTGTCAGCAGAAACAGCAAAGAAAAACAGGAAGGGCTGTGACGTTATCAAATTGAAATCTTCCTCTGTGCTATTTAATCTAGACTAGTCAATAACAATGCTTCTCACCTCCTTGTTGCCTTCCCGAGGCTCTTAACCTTACTCTTCTTTCAAAGATTTCTGTTGTTGTTTATAAGGCCGATTTTGAACTCCTCTCTGTGAGAATGTTAGTATCTATTGAAAGCTTCTTGTCCTTAGCAGTAAAATTTTCATTGCCTCTAAACACTGGAACTATCAAGCCATGGACGTCCGAGGGCTGCTACGGAAGACTTCTCTAGATTTCTTGATCTGAAGGCAGCCAGCCTTTCACACCAAACCCAGAAATGTATATTCTCGCAATTCTCTCTGAAATATAGGCAGACGGGAAGGTCGCATCCTCCTGCTAAAAGAGTGCCAATGAAAAATCCAAAAGAAAGTGCACACCCGGTAGGGCTAATTCAGGCCAGTAAAGCAGTATCTCAGATGAAACCTATGCCAAACCTTAATGGAAGACGTCTCTAGTGTGTAATAATTCCTCTTTCTGTGTTCCCATTATTAGTCGAGAAAAAAGACTAAAGTCCCAAAGAGTACGTGATCACATTCAGCTTCAGCATTCAGTTTGTTTTACAAATTTTACTATTAGTTTAATGTTGTGGAGGGTAACAGAAATGTGCTAGGTTTTTGTCTGACGTGCTTTTTGAAATGAAATAAGTAGTGGGAAATGATTCTGAGAAAGAGTTCAAATCTATCCCTTCTTTCCTCGGAAAGTATCTCCTCTCCCAGGGATTCTTTTGCTTTTAAGTTGGGGGGAGGGAGGGAAGACTCTCCTTTATGCGAAGGTCATTCTGGCCCACAGTATTGAGGTCCCTTTTCCATCTACTTCAAGACAGCTTTCACTGGAAACACCCTCAAAACCAAAGCAGCAAGAAGTTGAGATTGCAGGCACAGGCCTCTACATTTATTTACCCTTCTTTTTGAAAGTGTAGATGTAAGAAGAAAACAAAATCCCCGTAAAATGTGGAAACATGTATTATACGATTCCTGCCGTGGTGGTCGTTAGTGTTTCATACTCTTTCACAAGGGTGAAAGTTGGTAGCAAGGACAAAGCCCGAAAGGGGCAATTGAAATTAAGAAAGTTATTTGAGAGTACTCTAAACCGCAGAGCGCTGACTTAAGTGCCTTGTGTAGTAGGGGGGAGGAAAAGAGGGGCTTTAAACACCTTGGGCTTACATTGCCTTGTGCAAGGAGTCAAGGGATGGGTTCCTACAAACTCAAGTGAACAGTCACTGATGGTTAACACTTCCTAATGGCTTGCTAACGGCTCCCGGAGCTGTTGGTCAGCCTTAGGCGGCAAAGCGCTGGGTTGCCCAGAGGGAGGAGAAGGCAGATGTGAGCGGGCCTAAGAAAACGTGATGTGTTTTAGGTGCTGGAGGTGGACACCGAGGGCGCCTCTGTCCGTCATAGCCGGAGGGGCGGGCGGCTGGGCGTTGGGGTTACCCCTTCCGTGGGGTTTCTCGGGAGCCGCTTCCCTGGCTCTGTCCTTACGAGAGACAGTGAATGGAAAAGCGACGAAGTACAATCCCCAATAAGGAAACGGATCTGCCTACGATCACCTATTTTTGCTTTTGTGTGGTGCCAAAAGATAAGCGAAAGGTTTCCATCACACTAAGTCCAGGAGAGACAAATACTAAGCCGCTACTCTGACGGCTACTTTTCTCCCTTCTCAGGCTGGAACCTGCCTGTTTAATTAGCAGCAATGGTTTAGGACTGCTTCTATTTGAAACCCTCGTGTACTGTGAATGCAAACCTCACCCTCATTGATTGCTGGGCTTGATTTTGGGAAGCTATTCCGAAATGGTAAAGGAGGAAGGTTGGCAGCATGCCCCATGAAGCAAGATGTCATTTAGCAGGGGTGGCTAGTGTGGTGCTCACATACTATGCTGTCCAACTCCAGCAGCAGAAAACGGGTGTCCAGATGCCGCTGCACTACATAGGTAACCTTAGTGCCGCTCGAGAGTAAATTACACCATCGCACCAACCTCGCCGTGTGTTTGCTCCATAACGCTCAGACAAAAACAACCCCCCGCTTTTGACAGATAACCCAGGCGGCTCGACTTCCCTGCGTGGTTGCTAAAAGGTAGCTTGAGAGCGAGAAAGAGGACATGCTGGCTAGTCCCAACAATGACAGAAGCCGTGGGAAGGACAATGCGAATCCATGGTGGTTAATTTGCACAGGAGGAATGAGGGGGCTGGAGCTCTGGCAGGCTTCAAGCTCTCCCCTGTTGCCATAGCGCTGCTGGCTGAGAAAGAAGAGCGGGGGCTGGCGGGCTGCCTTCTAGGGGGAATCTCCTCGGCTCTCGCTTCTCCTGGGGAAGGCAACGGGCATCCCGTTCCCGTGGAAGCAAGGACATTTCGAAGGGACAGATAGCGTAGGAAACTGGTGGGGAATTCCCCTCCTGGATATTAGTAAAGCTTCTGCTGTTTCTTTCCCCCTCCCCTACACAGAGACGGAGAGATGTGACCCTGTGGGAAAGCAGCTGGGCTTCTCTCACGATCACAGTTAGTGTCACTTCACAACAGGACTAGACCAAAGCCAGACTCCCTAAAGCGCGGACGTGCAACAGGCCCGGCTGAGCAGGGGAGAAGTCTTCTTCGCGCTTCTACCTCTAAGATTTTCCATACTAAAATAAACTAAACAGCCACTCCCTACTTCTCTTCCTTAAGCCTCAGGTGAATGACAACCCCTTTTAAAGACAAGAAAAAAGCATTTCGTGATTCAGAAGCGGACTCACACTTTGCTGCTACAAACAATAGAGTGAGTGTAACCTGTTAACCGCCCAGGAGGCAGTTAGGAAGCGAAGTTAGTCGAGAAAGATATGTGCGTGGGCGATCATGTCACTGGGCACCGGAGTCCCGCCAGACGACCCTTCAGTCTCGAGATTATTATTATTCTAATCGTTACCAAAATGCTGCACGCTAGGGTTATCTCTACAAGCACACTGGGCTAAATTCAACGAGGATGCCGATCTGAAGCGAGATAGCTAAATGGTGTTTCTAAATGGTGTGACTGACGTTTGTTTGTTTGCACAGCTACCCGTGAAAGTGTTTCAGACTCCTGGATACCGCCCCTCGGCAACACTCATGAATCCTGTTTCGTGTACGGACAGACAGCTGGACAACGCCGGATTACAGTCAGCCCTGGCGCTAATTTCACGGCCATGATTATGGAGCAGACAATGCAAAATAAACCCCGGAATGATATATAGACCCGTTTAGCCATGTCCAAAGAAACAAGCATTCCTGAAGACGGTTGCTAAGAGCAACGTGCCTTAAGCACCACCTTTAGACCAGATGGAAGCAGAAAACAAGTACTGATAGGAATTCAGCACACGAGAGCAGTAACAGCTTTATGACTTTTAAAATCATTACCAACCTTCCCGTGGACACGAAAGTGTGTGGGGCGAGGGGGATTTAAACAAAATAAGAAACAACCCTCCCAAATCCTGCTTCTCACAGGCAAAGAAAGAGCTTTCAGTCTCCCACCGAAATGGACGCAGCGGCTGCTACAGCTCATCGCGGCCAGTGCTAACGAGGGGAGAAGACTCTCCCTCCCTCCAGCAGCGCCGTCAGCAAGCGCAGACGGTGCCGCTTTGCCTGGGGACACAACTTTCCGCCTTCTGCCTCTTCCGCTCCCCGCCGCGGCTGCCCCGCAGC